CTTAGCTCTAGATTTGTACTCTCTAGGTAAAAGACCCACTTTAAACAAAGGCACAAATGTAAAATCTGCTTAAGTGATGAAGTCTCCTTAAATGATGAAGCAAGAAATTGCTCCATTATCTTCTTGCTTCCTGTTGCCTATCAGACTAACTTTCTTTACCCCAAGGGCATGGTTCAGCCAACTGCTTCCCCCACTTCAGCCACAGTTGACTTCAGGGAAATTGCACCATGAGGATTTTTTTACTCCAACAGTTAACTGATGCTACTGTAGTCCGCGACTCCCAGGGTATGTCACCATGATATCTAAGGACCATAACTAATACTATGGTCAAATAAGCACTGAACTTGGCACCTAGAAGATCACATCCCAGCCTGAACTGCAGCTGTGCTACTGTATTAGATGCCTTCACGAAGGCATTTAACCTTAGCTTCATTTGTCAAATGGAGATGATAGTCCATTCCTTGCTTACCTTCCAAGGCTTCAGTGAAAGAAATATTTCATAAAAGCAAAATAGAAGTGGTGTGGCAGCATGGGTTAGTACGTGGGCTTTGGCAGCAAAAATACGTGGGCACAAATGTGGTTACAGCACTAGTGAGCTCTGTGACTTTAAGTACGTATTCAACCTCCATAAGCCTTAAAAACTAGGTACATTATTAGTGCCTATACCAAAGACTCATGGGGAGAAGCAAATGAAATAATGTATGTACAATGCTTAGCACAGTGCCTTGTACGTATAGACTCAGTTTTAGTGTCATGCTAAGTGTATATAAGGAATAACAGCGACCTGCTATATAAAATCAGACAAGCATTGCCTTTTGAGTATTATAAACCTTAATCAAGTAGATGATTGGCTTACATTTATATTAGTATTTGATGGCTGAGATGCAATAGGAGTCCAGAGCCAGAGGCTTTGGAAAAGATCTGAAATAGAGTCATTTTCTATGATACACAGTAAGATACACAATATGATACACAATACATGCTTGAGATCCAAAGTACAAAATGGTAGACCTGAGAGTCGTGAGAAAGTACACAGGCACACGATACAGGTCACACCCTAAGTTCAGACAATTATCCTGCGCCGATTTGAAATCAACTCCTATGACAGCCACTTCCACAGAGACTGATTAGAGTCACTGTACTGACTGTGCACTTGCCACTGTGCCACTTGATGACACAGACTCAGACACACAGGTCCACAAACTCAGAAAGGACATGGAACAAGAAAGTACAGACATTCAGAGGTGAGAAAAGATACATGCTCTCCCTTGGTGAGGATAGTTCCAGATACTATGTCCCACAGTAAGTCCCCCTGCCTGCCTACCAGGTCAGGACCAAATGCTGAATATTTAGGTGGAAGTTTAAAGTACAGTGGAATGACCCATGTGTCACATGCAGTCAGTTTGTTCATTTCCTGGAACTGACATGCCTGGTAAAACTTTCTTCTATTAATTTTAATTTTTAGACACTATCTACCAGAACCTGTGTGACAGTGTGTTTAGTATGACTGCGTGAATGGAGGATTTCAAATTCCTGTGAAATGAAGATTAGTACCTGGAGACTACAAATTAAACTCGTTTAAAAGTAATTCAGGTAAAAGAAAATTTCATTTCAGAAAATCTCAGAATCAGCATTTCCATAAAACCAAACCTCTTAAAAAATGATTTGTGGTTTCACCTGAATGGATTGGGTCATGGAGTCTCAGTTCTGATCCTGTTCTATCTGAAAAGATGCCCAGTCATCCTTCTAGCAGATTCCTTTGGGTGGGGGTTTTATGAATGGGGGAGATGAGTGAGGGCCAGAGCTTGAGGCAGTCAAGACAGAAAAACCACAACAGAAAGAAGAGGGAGAGAGAAGATGGCATGTGATCTTCCCAATTGTTGTGTTGCACTGGGCGTTATAAGACCAGGATTTGAGGAAGGCCTGCTAGGTCAGAAAGGCAGGACAACAGCAGGCCCAGAAGGTCTTCTATCTGGGCGAAGATGGCTCAGGAAACACAAGGGGAGGCAGGCAGCCTCACAGCCAGAGGCCAAGTGGCCTAGCTGCCTGCAGCACAGCAGGTCTGGACCCTGACTCCAGAGAGCATGTTACACTCTCTTGGTCCTTCCCTCTCTGAGACCTGGGCTCCCTTCATCCCTCCCAGCATTTTGGGGGAAGAAGCCTGGCGTGGATGCTGCATGCTTGCCCACATGTCTGACAGCCAGGTTCTAAGCTCCTGCTGCCATCAGAGGCAGGCGTGGGCAGGAGGGGGTGGGAGATAGCTTGCTCCGGATCAGAGAAGACAAAGCATCTCCCCTGCCCTGCAGCTGACGCTGACAGGGAGCATGTGCAGGGCTCAGTGGCTGGCATCAGGGACAGCCCTCCACACTGCCTCTCGGCTTCTCCCCTGTCTGAGGAGGGAGGTTGGGAGGGGGAACTCCTTCCCCCCAGCCCAGCCTTCCTGCTTGGTTTTGATCTCAGGAAGGGAATGCCCCTGCCCCTCTTTGAAGCAGCAGCCAGCACCACTTGTCTCTTCTCTCCTTCCCGCAGGCACTTCTGTTCAGAGTGCTGCCTCTCGCTGGCTCCTTCTGCTTCTGCTAGGTCCTCCTGCTGATCAGGAAGAAAGTGCACCATTGGGGTGATGCGGGTCTGCAACTCTTAAAGGAGAAGCTTTATTTCTGATGCAAATGTGTTTACCTAGCATATTACTTTTATGTCTCTCGCCAATCAGTATAACCTCATGAGAAAAGGAAATCAGATATAAAGGGACCATAATCACCATTTCAACAGTGGTTGTAGATGCACTGGCTTTCCTTAAGGATTTTCAAGCAGATTGGGCACTAACCGTGGTGACAAACATTATTGGTAATCAAATTCAGTTCAGGGATCATTTACTGAGATCATAAAGTTGGAGGACCATGGATCGGAATGAGGCATTCCTGTTACCTTAAGGGCTCACAGTTCAGGACAGAGGATAAAGAAGACACAGAGGTAATTTGCACACCTGTAGTATCTTTTTTTTTTTTTCTCCCAATAACTCCTGCAGAGGAGTTTGTGAGTAGCCAAATTGACAATCCAGTTTGAGATGCAATGTCTCCTTGGCTGCCCATTGGTTGATTTTCTGTCAATCAACTAGGCTCTGCCCTTTGGTTGATTTTCTGTCAATCAACTAGGGTTTGCATGAGTCTTGGCCCTCTGCAAAATAGACAGGCTGACAGAGCCCCCACAGGATGCTGGAGCTGCAGGATCACAGAGCCTTGTTTCTGTCTGTGAAAGGTGCATGACTCACAATGAATGCGAAGGAGCCTGAACCCTATGCTCTTTCTGACCCAGATCTTCAAGTCATTCAAGGCTGGAGCAGGGATTCTTTCTACTGAGTCCAGCCCTGGATGGTGTTCTAGGTTTCAGGCTGAGCTCTCTTTCAAGGGAAAATGTCTGATCTTGTGCAAATCACCAAGGAGAACCCTCAGTTTCTGCTGAAAATCAAAAGCAATGCGGATGATTTTGAAAATATGAGATAATTTCAGAGAAGCTTACTCAAATACAGAGGAGAACATCAGAGTGCTATGAGCCAGATGGCTTCTGGGTCACATGTGTTGTTTTATGGAAGGGGAAATTGAGGCCCAGTGAAGTGACTTTCGGGAGTCACAGAGAGTTAGCTCCTAGCACCCGGTTCTGTCCCTCCTCTAGACCTAGGATTTCAGCAGTGCACCAATGCCTCTCCATATGTATAAGGACAGGAAGGAGGCAAGGGAGATGGTTGGAACTTCAGAGTGCTCAAGCTCTTGAAATGTCAGAAAAGGTCCCTGCCCTTCTTTACAACCCTTTCTCTCAAGGAGGCCGGGAAACTTTTCCCTCCAGGGAATTGGCTAGGCTGACAGGCCCCTTCCTGGACTAGAAGCCAGGCTGAAGGAAGGAGAGGCAGAGAGGGCTTCACAGGCCAAGGGGAGACAGGCACCAGGTGTGTGCCAGGGATGCCCGATACACATTCAGCGTGGTTTTCCCACTTACCACAGCGGGAAGGTGCAGAAAGCTGGGCCCCAGGGCGCAGGGGGGCTGCTAGAAGAAGGTAGCCTCAGAACTCAGAACTCGGTTTACCCTGGCCTGACCCCAAACTTGAGGGCCCTTATTTGTGCCAACTAATACAACTCACTGACTCTCCGGCCCACAGCTTGCTGACCTACTAAGTGCATGCCAGGCTCCGCGGCCCCACACAGCACTGCGTCATGCCCGTGGGCTGCGATGAGCGGTGCCGCAGGGACGGTGAAGGTGACCGCCTTCTCCTTTGGGGACACGCGTGCTCTGCGCTGCGGACCCGAGGGACGCGCAGGGCGTAAAAGTTCGCTCACGTGCTGGGGCCTGAGGACAGTCTCTCGCAGGGGCCGCAGGTCGACCTCCACCCAGTGGCAGTTCGTGCCCGCTTTTCTCCTTGCAAACGCTAACTGCCAGTGGCCAGGGCTCACAGAGAGGGTCCCATTCCTGGTCCCGCGTCCCGACCCCCCTTCCTCCTGCGTCCTTTTGGCTGCCTCTGGGGGCCCCGCCGGCTCGGGGTCCGCAGCTCCGCAGTCTCTCCCACTAGCTGCTGTGCAAAGTGTTGGGGGTCCCGGGCAGCACAGGCAGGAGAGGCGAGCCCCTGCCAGATCCGGGGATGATAACGTGCCTGCTCCATGTCGCGGCTTCTAGCTGTCCAGGCTCCGCCCCCCGTGAGTGTGTAAGTGTGTGATGCTGCCGCGGCCGCCGCCGCCGCCTGTGCAGCCGCTGCCGCCGACCCGGCTGCCGCGCCGCGCCACTGCCTCTTCCTCGGCTGCCCCCGCCTCCGCCGTCGCCGCCCGCCCGCAGCCTGCCAAGCGGGCAGCCCCGCCGGCCCCGGCCCGGAGCTGCCGCTGCCGCAGCCTTGGGGCGCCGGGCGCGCGGGCAGACTCGGAGCGAGCGGACCCAAGCAGCGGGCGACAGGCGCTCGCCCGCCCCGCGCAGCCGCCGCCGCTCCGGAGCGCAGGGCCAGGCACCTCCGCGCCCGCCACCGCCGCCGATGCGGCCCGGGCACTTTTAGCCAGAGTGCAGGGCCGGAGAGCAGGGCCGCCCGGGGCAGCCAGCGAGCCGCGCCAGCCGGAGCCGCGCCGACCCGCAGCGCGCAGGGACCGCCGCCCGCCGCCGCCGCCGCCGCCCGGCCGCTATGGATCTATTCGACTTTTTCAGGGACTGGGACTTGGAGCAGCAGTGGTAGGTGTTGATTTTTGCCTTCTCCTTAACGAGCGGCTCCCCGGTGGGGTCTGAGCTTTTCGCCTTTGTTAAAAAGCGCCGGGGCCGTGGTGGGGGGCGTCCCGGATGCACCCACACTTGCTCGTGGCAACCTCTGGCCCCTGCCGTGGTGACTCCTAGGTCCGGTGCCCGGGTGGGGGGAGGTGCGGGGCCGCTGAGGGAAGCGGGCAGATGCGTCGCTTGGCGCTCCAAGTCCGTGGAGTTGCATCTGGCCCGCAGCAGATTCGGTGCCACCCACCTGGGGGCTCCGCTGCACGACCTCCGCCCGCCTGTTCTCGCCGGCGGCTCCTGGGCACGGCCTCTCTGCGCCCTGGATGCCGACCGCCTGAAATGCCTCAACTTTCCAGGTGCCCGGTAGACGCAGCCGGCAGCGGAGGAAAGGTGGCGGCTAGGTGCCACCGGCCACCACCCTCCGCTTCCTGGGCGACCACCGCCCTCGCTGCCGCCACCTCCATCCCTGAGGGCGATGCGCGGCGCAGCGCACGCACCTTCCCCAAGGCCGGCTCAGCCCAAGTTCCCCACGCTCCAGTGCCGAGCTGCGTCTTCAGGGACCACCGCGCAAAGGACCCCGCATTGGGGTTCACTTCTGCGCTAGGTTTTCAAGATTGAACGCTTTTGAAGTCGGGACCCCAAAGTCAGTTGCTCCGACGTCAATGCACATTCGATTACCAGCTGGACCCCCGTCGGCCTCTCACTGGCAGGCAGCCCTACGTTTGCAGTGGACACATAGCAGGGATTCAGAGATTTAAACTGGTCCTCACAAAGCCCTCTAAACTTGGTGTTCACAGATTTTAAGAGATGATGCAGGGGTGAACGGAAGCCAGAAAGTTGTTAACTCCTTGTGTGACGTTCGGACGCGCAGGCAGAAATGCAGATACAGTAATCTATTAACTTTTTAAAAACTTCCCCTTCTATGATAAACGTTATTGATTTTTATTTGTCTAAACATTTTAACGCGTCGAGTCTGCCTGCAGCCCAAGGAATTAGATGGAGAAGGAGGACGCCCGGGCAGCGACTTAGAATTGCACACTTGACTATAGCTCTTTTAAATGTAGTTAGAATAATCTATAGTACCCACCAGCAGTGCAAAAGCTTTTGCAATGTTCAACTACTAGCGGCGGCCGTTGGCTATGAATGCTGTGTATTTTTACAAGGATTTCCCTTGCTGATGTGATATTTTAGGCAATTTCCTTCTTGAAAAAAAAAGGCCATAAGCTTGGCCAATAGCTTCAGTATGCCAATCATGACTCCTTTCATTGCAAGCCCAAAATAATTGGAACTTGAATATGTTTTATTTTACAGCAATTCCAGGTAAATCTTTGAAGCACAAATTACAACATATCAGTATTAATCTGCAAGGCATGTTGAAACCACGCAGAGTTGTATCAGTTCCGCAGAAAGATTTTATGTTGCATTCAAAAAATGCTATTATTTAAAAGTAAATATAGCAATAAAGTCATTGCACAATTAAATATTATGCCCCTGCACAAAATCTTTACTCTGCTCTGCTAATTTATTTTGCAGACAATTGATAACCACAGCATTATTATTTGCATGCAATTTGCTTAATATGTAGCATGGATAAAAATGTTAATTTAGCAGACATTGCTATAATTGATTTCACGGGTGTAGTCCAAATATTAACCATATACATGGCATTAGGTTTTAAAAATATTTATTGTGTTTATTACAGTTCAATGTTACATGCAGCTGAATATTTAAAGCAAGTGGGCTCTTTTATGTTTGATTTCTGGTTTTCAGAAGATATGAGACCTTCTGCCTATCTATTCTTAAAGAGAGCCCTAAACCTCTTTTCCTCTGGACCCTTAACTGTGCCAGGTCAGTTAAGGAGCGTGTAGACTTGGGCATTCAGTGGCTATTATCTGGAGTACTAAGGAATTAGTATATCAGGTATGCATAAATAAGCCTGCACCTTCATTCTCTGTATATGATCCAGGGCAATTTGTCTTTCTTACTGTTCAGTTGTGAAGGGCCAACTTCCTCATGCATCTGTGTTTATGAACATTTGGAATGCGGTTATGCCTTTGTCTCGTACATACACACAGAGAAAGGGACACAAATGTGACAACGGTGGGTGCAGTGCAAAGCTCGATGTTGTCATTAATGGAAATCTGTACCTTTGAAACTCTCTTTGGACATCCAGAGGATGCTGGTTACATGTTCATTAGATGTTTACTGCCTTTCTCTGAGCATAAGTGGATGCTTAAAAGTGATGACATCCACTCCCTTGAAGCCCTCAAGAAAACCAAAGGGGGAAAGACCCCCTACAAAGTTAAGGAGCTCTTTTATGGTTACACTGAACCTATTCCTAATAGTTACTTGTACAACAAGCCTGGAGCTTTCTCTAAGCCTAAAGGTCTAACAGTAAGTGGATCAAGACAGCTCCAAAACAAACTCATTTTCCTAGACATAATGAACAAAGACTGTACATACACTGCATATGTGTTATTTGCAACCACTGACTCTAGTAAACAAAAAGTGCATGCCCATTTACAAACACACACTTGTTAGGGCAAACGCAAAGGGAAATAATGGGCAGTGCGTGTCGCTGCAGTTGCAGGTGGGTGCAGCGTCTGGTAGTGCTCACACGCCTAATGGCACATCTCGATGGATTCACCAACTGCAAGAATATCTTAATGGGTCATGCTCTGGACTCGATTAAAGGGCCAGAGCTCAAGTTCTTTAAGATTCCTGGATGAATGAGCAGTGTTCACCTGAGTTTGAATTTAATATGAACCATTCTGTGAAGGAAAAGGAAGGCACAGATGTCTGTATGCACAAGGGAGACGATTTGCTCAAAAAAGCAGGGGGAGGAAGAAAAAAATTCAATTTCATCATTTAAATCATTCAGTAGACTTGCCTATGGTCATTAAGCAAATGAATTCTGAGGTGTGTGGAAATCACATGGCTAGATTTTGGACTTGTTTACCAGCAATGGCAAAGTCATTAACCCCCACTTAAGAGGAACAAAATACAAAATCAGAGAGCCTGCAAAGTACACAGGCTTACAGTCTTGCAAGTACATACCCTCCAGTATTGAGTAAGTATTGCTTTGTACCATGCCGGGATTCTTTATGGGATGCTTATCTGTTTTTTTTTTTTTTAATTAGAAAGAAGGGAAGGAAGGAAATATAAAAAAGGATAAATTCTTAAAAATAAAAAAAAATGATGAAAAGAAAGCCACCATGATAGTAAAACCAAAATGCGAATAATCCTAGGGAAAATGGTAGTTAAGTGATTGTGACAGTGGCCGACTTCTCACTGCGAAGGGACAGCATCAATTGTGTGTCGTTTTTATGTGATGTCTCACAAGTAGCCTAATTAGAGGGGACCTTGCAAACGGGCAGTTAGACAGGAAGAGACTTAAACTCACGGAACTGTTATATAAATAGAAAGTTCAAAGGTCTGCGAGGGGCTGTCAAGGCTGAAAAGGGGCCATGTGCTGGCCAGGCTTCTCATCCTTGGGGGAAGGCAGCCCCCAGGGCCTGCCCCGGCAGCCAGCCAGCACTGTCCCCTGCTTTCCTGCACCTTGATGGGGGCCAGAGTGGAAGGCTCTGCTCTCCAGACAAAAGTGAGCTGTTCTTGCTCCAGCAGGGCATGGCCCCTTACCTAGGGCAGCAGCGACCCCGCTGCCTCTGCCTGCTCCTGTGTGGGTCTTCGGAGACCTCCTGAGCTGCAGCTTGGTGTTGGATGGTAGGTCGGGAATGGAGGAAGAACAGTCTTTGCCAGCTTGGGGCCATTAAGACTGCAGTGTGTGTGGTGGGGTGGGGGTAGGAGTGCTTTGTAGTCCCATTTCCACTGAGGCCCAGAGAGTCCCAGGATTTTTCCTTCCCTACCTCCATTCATTCCTTTCCTTCTTGGGTCTATGAAAAGGGAGAAGGTCTGTAGTCCGTTCTGCCTCCCACCCCCAGGACGATATGTATTTTCAATGTTTTAGTGAGTCTCTCAGCAGACCTTTTTGGGTTGAATTTCTTAAGGAGAATGCAGATATTGAAGATGAAATTAGCTGATGGTAAGGTCTCTATAATTCTTGACCCCCCCCCAAAGAATAGTAACAAGTAAAAGCTATCTCAGTAAAGCTTAAAAAGCACATCTATTGGGCGAGGAAGAAAATTGTCTCATGCTAGAAATCAGTTTAATGATACACGAATTGTTTTGCTAATGATTCAGTCAAGCGTTTAACAACTTTAAAATATACAAATCAAGATCGAAAATGACTGCCTCAAAAATGAATCTGTCATTATAGACATAAATGAGATTCCAAACATTTAAGCATTTTGTAGATGGATAAAATTATATTATATTTAAACATGCTAATTATTGTTGAATGGAAATGGCTTTAATGTGCTGAACCTTTATTTCATGCCCATTATTCTTAGCTAAGATTACTTCTTGCATGAAGAATTTGCACACATTTAGCATAATTTCAAAATTCCAGAACGTCCAATAAAATGGCCATCTCTGGAACGACCTAGAAGCTGTAGTCCTGAGAACATCTAACTTCAGGTCATACCTCAAAGAGGGCAACCGCCATTTACTTGATTAGCTTGTCAAGTAGACAAAACAATTGGTATAGTGATTACATTTCACTTTTAATTTTGTCTTTCTTTTTGTGATTGCTATGGGATAAAGAAGAGAGATTTTTAAAACATGTTTATTGATAAATGGAAAGAAGTATGTTGCTGATTAAAGAGCTCAAGACCACAAGTCGGAGGGACTGTTTTGAGGGGCGCGTGTGTATTCCATCTGTGGTGGGGCTCATTAGCATCATCACCACTACTATAATTTGAGTATTTACTCTGTGCTGCAAGCTCTGGTCTAAATGCTTTATATACTCAAGCTCACTTCCACCAAGTCTGTGAGATAGATCCTGTTATGATATCTGTTTTCACAGATCACTGCTACTAGGCAATGAAATTCACATTTTAGCTTAGATGGAG